CTTAACTAAACCCTTTTATTTCGCCTGGATCGTATAATGCTAAACTTACAGTTAACCTTACAAAACACGCGCTCTACTATGACAAATCGGATACGCTAAAACTAAAAATAATTTATTTAGATATTCTAATGTATGACTTAACATGACTCTTCTCTTATTTATTTCTTAATCGATTAATGGTTTACTTAAAAATTCTAAACTTTTTAATCATACTTAAACCATATCATTAAATATTCTGAATGCGAATGCATTTGTTACTTAACTAAAACCCTTTTATTTCGCCTGGATCGTATAATGCTAAACTTACAGTTAACCTTACAAAACACGCGCTCTACTATGACAAATCGGATACGCTAAAACTACCAATAATTTATTTAGATATTCTAATGTATGACTTAATATGACTCTTCTCTTATTTATTTGTTAATCGATTATTGGTTTCGTTACACATTCTAAACTTTTTAATTTATACTTATACTATTTAATCAAATATTCTAAAATGCGAATGCATTTGTTGCTTAATTAAAACCCTTTTATTTTACCTGGACACGCGCTCTACAATTAAATAATCGAAACATGACAGGATCATCATCCACACAAGCCCACGTTATAGTATATATAAACATAACATTTTATAAATGCACCTAAATGAAACAATATACGAATTCAAGGGATTTATGCTAATTTATTGAATGATATTTTATATCTATAAAAGTAACTTTAATAGGGTATGATATGCTTCATTGTACACCAAAAAGGAAAAAAGTACAAAAATAAACAAAATATTTATCAAATAATGATAATCAAAAAGCGACCTTATTGCTACACAGCAATTTCTTTCAGGCAACCTCAGAATTTTACCAAAAGGAATCTTATTGGGTAGGGTGTACATGAAAATAAGTAAAAAGAATATAGCAACAAAAATTAAAGTAATAACAAAAACATACCTCTTGCGAGTGATTGTCACGTTAAGAGCGAAATAAACATGGAAGGAGAGAGACATCGAGAGAAAGAAAGGAGCTAGGTGCTAGACAGACGGATAATGCTTAAACTTCTCTTTTAAAAGAATCTAGCTAGGATTTGAGCACGTTTAATAGCCAAAGGTAAAGAGTTCCAGAGTTTAACAGCAACAGCAAAGGATTTATGGTAAAAACTAGTGGATGACATAGGGCGTGAGGTTTTCATTTGAACGTAAAGGAAGATAGTATGAGGGAAGCAAAGAAATTGAAAAGTTCCTTCAAATAGTGCGGACTTGATACATTAAATAGGACGCAGTAAAGAGCAGAAGGAATATGAGTGTGGAATAGGGTGTTAATATTTTAAATGACATTACGTGTAGGCATTGGTTTACAGTTGGGTACTCTTCGTTTAATGTCAGCTAGTATAATAGCGGTGATTCAGTGGCGCAATTGCTATTATCTGGTCTGGTTTAGTTTTAAATTAAATAAGTGTAGAGGCTTTGAAAACCGCTACAAATTCAAGCGAAAGGACACCGCTTCGATATCATCCCTAATGCAATGAGTTAATTTTGAGTAATGCTAATTTTAAACTTATAACAGAGACAATATTTCATAACAGTTACATGCTAAAACTAACAACAATTTATTTAGATATTCTATTGTATGACTTAATATGCCTCTTCTCTTATTTATTTGTTAATCGATTATTTGTTTACTTACACATTCTAAACTTTTAAATTTTTACTTATACAATTTATTCAAATATTCTAAATGCGAATGCATTTGTTACTTAATTAAAACCCTTTTATTTCAATTGGATATATAGTGCTAAATTTACGGTTTATGCTAAAACTACCAATAATTTATTTAAATAATCTTATGTATAACTTTACATTCCTCTTCTTGTGTTATTTTTTAATCGCTTATTACTTTACCGTAACATTAAATATTTTAAATGCACAAGCAATTATTACTTAATTGACTTTGCATTTAGAATTCCCTTTTATTTCGAATTGTCCCTATAGTGTTAAATTTACACTTCACCATACAAACCGCACTGTCTACAATGTATAATCACTACATAGTATAAAACAATGTCGTCCCGCTGTCTGTCTGTCCATATGTATGCTTAGATCTTTAAAACTACGCAAAGGATCTTGTGCGGTCTTTTTCCTAGATACTGAGTCAAGAGGAAGGTTGTTATGTATAAATACATTGCACCCACGCGAAGCCGGGGCGGGTCGCTAGTATATATATATATATATATATATATATATATATAGGTTAGAGAATAACATGATAGCATTATTATCGCGTTTATCGTGTGGAATTTCTCCTGCCGCCCAACATTTACACAACAGATTGAGCTAGATAGTACTAACGCACTGAAGCCTGATGATTTCTACCGTGCGGGAATCGAACCCACGACCCCCGACGCCGAAGCCAATTACCCTGGCGACAGCGCCACAGAGTCAACAAAGTATAGTTACTTTACTCCTTTGATGGCGATGGTCTTCTGATCACAAGGGAAATCGAGGACGTTTCGCGGTCTAAGCCATTTGTTGCGGAACGTACCTAGCCGTAAGCGTCTATAGGTTGCGAGACCTAAAACTAGCGCATTGAGATAAACGGCGACGGACTCAAAGCAGCGGCGACTATAGGAATTGAGCGATGGTGGGCAGCTCTAAATCTCTATGTACATCGATGTTGCGAAAATCGCTGTGCAAAAAATCGATTTTGAACGACCTGAAGTCGGTTTATTTGCTTCGGAGCAATGCGCGAGAATCGGACTAGCGTACGTCATTATAGGGCAAGGTCCTAGACAAGGTCACCTTGTTCCTAAGGTACATTTTTGACGTTTTATTGATTAAATGATATAGGCGGTCGATTACGAAGGCCATCCGGTTTTTAGCCCGCGTCACGTGCTGGCTGAAGCCGAGCCGAGAGTCAAGGACGACACCTAAGTATTTGACTCTAATTTTTTTTTTTTTTAGATTTTTTATAAACATTGCCCTTACTTTAGGATAATATTATCCTGTGTTGTAAGGACGTTTTACGAACATAAATTTCACGCGGACAAACACCCAGATGCGAAACAACTATCTGTGGGTCACACAAATAGTTGTCCCGTGTGGGAATCGAACCCACGACCCCCGACGCCGAAGCAGATACCTTTGCGACTGCGCCACGGAGTCATCAAAAATTATTTATTTATTTATTTAAACTTTTACACAAAAAAAATACAATTGTGTATAGGCGGCCTTAAGGCCTAAGGCATTCTCTCCCAGTCAACCTATGGGCGACGCAGAGACAAAAACGGCAGGTGCAAAAAGTTACATATTAAATTTTAAGTTGAAATAAAAGTTATATACATATTCATATATAATTAAATTTAAAACATATACATGAAAATATATAACGTATATAAACATATTAAACCCAATGTAACAAAAATATATTACATTATTTAAGGATTCAAAATAGAATACGTATACAATAATATTCGTAAACACTTTACCCATGGTACTGAATACAAGCTTAACGGGTGGGAGATTGGGCACCTTCCCGAATCGGTCAAAGGTCAGTGCAAGATTAGTACCGCTTATGCTCACGGCGCTTCAGAAACAAGTGGGAGTTGCACTCAACTCCGATTGTTGCGATTAAACTTTGGCAAGTTATCGATTTCGCTTGTGCGTATGCGTAAGGTATAGGTATAGTACATTTACAAACAGTAGGCGGGGCGTGTGTCTTGCTTAAGAGGTGACACTAAAACTTCAATCGATGTTTCAAGAAAATGTCTTCCGCTACATCGACACGCTGTGTATCAAGTTGGATTTATAAGAATTCCCATAACGCTGGGGATGAATGGGGGGCCCATTATGTGTGACCGCTGTGAGACCTCCACAACTTAACGTATCTCAATCTTTTCCTATGTATCTTATACACATTTGTTCTAGATGTTTCCTTAAACGACAAGAACTGCTGTTTAACATACAAACCTTCAGGTTTTGTTACTACTAAATCAATTGAACAATTGTTGAAAAATTTTGAGGCATTGAATGCATATTATATCACAATTCCTAGGGAAAAGATTTTTAAGGCTCGACTAATGTTAATAATAGATACGTATTTAACGCCAAAAGCTATCAAAAATAGTGTTTAAAGTTTCAATTAAATAACTTAGTTTGGATCACAATCTTACAAAAAATTTCTAACGATTACAAAATCGCTCCGTCAGGGCAACTACTAGAATTTAGATAGACGTATTAGTTTCAATGATACACAGCATTTCTGGCTCATTTGAAACTCTGTGCTACTCATATAACTATTTATAATAGTCATAACCGTTTATTTTAGCGGAAAAATTTAGCGGAACCATGTTAGTGTACATACGATAACTTATGCGGGATACTTAACTTATATCTTAATTAATAATCAACTATGCTGACAATTAATGATATTTTCTCTAATCAAATCTTAAATGCATACAGATAATACAAATGATATCTTATTTTATTTAAACAATATTAAGAGTAATTTTTAATTGTAAAATTTTACAACGTACTACGTAAAATGACAAATATTCTTCCATTATATCTAATTTACATTTACATCGACTATGAATCTACAGAAACGTGTATTTCAAATACAGTTACACTAAACTACCGCTAAAACATTTAGAAATTCTAATGTAGATGCTATGTTTCCTTGACTTGAATAATTTTATTAATCTGTACTCGTAAACTAATCGTCGAATATTTTAAATGCACATACTATTATTGATAAATTAAAAAACTTTAGGAGTGCGAACCAAGAAACTGAGTAACATTTAAATACTACAAGCGTACTACGAGATAATCGAAACACGATTCAAAAAGTTAAACAATATTGTATTTGAATATCGTATAGATAGATAAGAAATGTACGAATAATAAAATGAAGACAAGCCGCTAGTCAATGCGAAAATCGGTACCTTGGGTATTTCGCCTAGCAGAACCAGGTCTTCACCGGCGGCTGGCCGCCAGCAGGCAGGCCCTGTCAGATGCCGGGCACGCCGTACATAGCCAGCTCCGGCACATCGATGTCGTCGAGCTCGGCGCCCGTCTCGATCGGCCCGGCTAGAGCCGGTTCGGTCGGTGCGCGTCCGGCTATAGCCGGTTCGAGGTTGCCGCGTCCGGCTATAGCCGGTTCGAGCGGGCCGTAGCCGGATTCCGGCCTCCGCTGCACGAGGACGTAGTCGTCGTCGCCGTCGGCGGAGTCCACGAGCGGGTCCTTGGGCTCGTAGGCGATGTTCGCCTGGCTGAGCAGCTGGAGGGACTCCTCGAGGGCGAGGGGCGCGGGGGGGCGGCGGCGGTGCAGCGAGGAGGGCGGGTAGGGCGGCGGCTCGGGCCGGCTGTAGCTGGCGGCCAGGTTGCGCGCCCTGGGGCTGTAGGGGCGCGCCAGGCTGCCGCTGGGACTGTGACGGGACCCGGTCAGTTGAAAGAATGTGTGTGTGTGTGTATACGTATTTGTATTTTTTCTTTTTTTTTAACATTGCCCTCACTTTAGGATAACATTATCCTGTGTTGTAAGGACGTTTTACAGAAATAAATTTCACACGGACAAACACCCAGATGCGAAACACCTATGTGTGGGTCACACAAATAGTTGTCCCGTGTGGGAATCGAACCTACGACTGCCGACGCCGAAGCCGATACTTTGGCAACTGCGGCACGGAGTCATCTAAATGTATTATGTGTCTCTTAACTATGGCAGGGCCACGCAACGGCTTCGGCTGTTGCATTAATGGGCAGGTCCGTCCGGGTAAGTACAATGACCTCACGGAAGATCGGCGTGAAGTGGAAGTGACATACTTCTGCATTTCGTCTGGTGAATGAGGTGGCTGGGGCCCACTTCATTAAAAGGTTGCAAAGCATCTGACACCTGCAACCCTACGGGTGTTGCTAATTTCCATGGGCGGCGGTTGTCACTTAACATCAGGTGTTAAGTGACAACCGCCGCCGTTGAAAAGGGTTGGGTAGTAAGTCCCAACGAACACCGCGACCTAGATGATCTATTAAAGTCTGCCTGGCTTCGAAAACATTGCTCCTCACTATAGGATATAGGCCACAGAACATTATCTTGTGTTGAAAGGATGTTTTATACACATAAATTTAGGATGGATGTATATTATATACATATACATCCAATTACAATAAATGATATTTTCTACATATTTCTTATTTTTTATTTATACATTTATCACATTATTTAAAATTTTATCATTCTCTTGCATCTTTTACTGCACCTACCATAAACTCTCACCACATCCTAGATTGACTTGCTTGAGTTAACTTGAGTTAATGGGTTCTCTGGTAGAGAATGCCTTTGGGCATTAACTCCGCCCTTTAGTACCTGTTTACTTAAGTTAAGGAACAAATACTAAATAAATAAATAAATAAACTTTCCCAGATGAGCCCACCGATTCGTGCTATAGCAGAAACTATTGCGGAGCTTTACCTAAATAACATAAAAAATAGTTAACACAATAAAATTTTCTTGATAATACCTGACACCCAGGCTTCTGTTGCTGTTGTCGTCAGCTAGTTGGGTCTGTTCGGTGTTTCCAGTCCCGTATATGCAGAGCTCCACTTTCCCGGATTTGTGTGCTCTAAGGCGTATTAATAAACAATTACAATTACTTGTCACATTAAACGTTATTTTTATTAGTACAACAGAAACAAGACAGGCATTAAAACCATCACCAGCAATGACGAAAGGGAATGTACAAAAGACAAGAAACATTTTTTTTTTAAGAAATAAGTATTTTGATTCAACTTGTATAAGTCACATAAATTAAATTTAATAAAAACAATTCTTCCATCATCAGATACGCCATCTCGTGATTGAGAAGTGTGGTCCGTATAATTGATTTTCATCGTATCAATATTATTTTTTTATCGCATGGTGAGTTTCATTTCATTTTATCCCACTATTTAAGTGATTGTAATATTAAAAGAGTTTACGATAATCCTCATTAATATCTTTAGAAGAAACATTAATTTACAAGGTTAGTTGCGAGGGTTACGATTTAGTTAGTTCTGCCAATCCTACTAGAATTTTATTAGTATTTTCCTATCCTATAATTAATATTTAAATAGCATTATGTTAATTTCAATGTAGCAGTACCATATGTTAGCGACGAGTAGTTTTTTGTAATGCATTGAGTAGTCTAATGAGCGAACCTCTTTTTCCTATAATCGATGCAAATATGATAAATGTTCTCCAGAAAATACTCCGACTCCGGATCGGTTCTGCAAATTGTACGAAATAATGCTCTTTTTATTACATAAATTAGGGGTGCACGAATTTCGAAGAATGTTTTTCTAATGTAATATCTATTCGAATTTATACTATGGGTTTAAGTTTTTTTTTTGGAAATAAAGTAATTTGTATTTGTATTTGTATTTTAGGCTGTAGATTACCCCTTCTTTCAATCGTTGATTACTAAACCCCAAAAGCTTTTGCTTTGCTCACGCGCAAAAATATAGCCGTCAAGCTCGCACAGACTATATACTATATAGACTCGAGAGGCAGACACTACGGCTACGACTTAATACTCACACGGCGGCAAAAGGGAATATTATTTGCAACACCGTAGCGGAAGACCCCATCTAGACTCGAGAGACAATAGCTAGGGGACAGATACTACGGCTACGACTATATACTCACACGGTGGCGTAGCGGGAGCACAGCACGGCGGCTAGCGCTACGGCGGCTAGCAGCAGAAGTAGCAGGGGGGGCGCTAGGGCGGCGGCGAGGGGGCGGGCGGCGGCGCGGCGGGGCAGCGCGCTACGCGACGGCGCGCTCCAGCTACGAGGTGCTACGGCACGCGCGCCCGTGGCACGACTATCGTTGGGCAGCTCCGTTAGGTACTCCAGGCGGAGGGTGGCGCGGTCTTTGTAGACGGTGTTGTACTGCGAAGTTACGGATGCTCATGATTTAACAGCCCCGGGGAAGTACCGATGACGTATTTCTTTTTTCTCGACGTTCAACATACAGCATAATTACAACAGTAACAAAAAACAGAAAAACAGCGAAGATAAAAATGGTGAAAATATATACATATATATATATTATAAAAAAGATAATGTGAAAAACGTCAATATATTCAGTTGTATAAGATATGGTTTGCAACTGTTCCGGGTCCGAAGAATTTGAAATTTTTATTAAACCCTAAAACGTTACATCTTGTAATAAACGCTTTCAAAAATTGGTTATGTGATAAAAATGCAAAGATTTCTTTTTCTTCTAATTGGAGTTTTCCTATTTAATTTATTATCTAGTAACAGTCCTAGAAATTTTGTTGTGTCAATTTCATGAATAGATATATATATTATGTATGTCTTTTTTATAATAATAAACAATGTAATAGATAGGAGTGAACTTTTAATGCCATTTTCGTATTCATCTTTGTTGTTACACGCTATTGTCCCAGTGTAGTCGTCAGCTAAAGATGTCATCGGTTGTACAGTTACTTTGGGCAAGTCAAATTTATACAAATTGAATAGGATTCACTACCTTGAGGTACTCCGTAAGCAACATCATGTTCTTCTGATCTGAAAATTACTTCTTCGGAGACTTCGGCATTAAATAATATAAAAGTAAAGCAAAGTAGCAGCCTATAAATATCCCACTGCTGGGCAAAGAACAGAGGGTATCAGGGCATATTCTATCACGCGGTCCCATTGCGGATTGGCGGACTTCGCATATATTATTGATTTGTTTTGTTATTAAGTCGAAAAAATGCAGGCTGCACGATGTTCTCCTTCACTGCTGAGCACGTAAGTCAGCCCTTAAAATTAACGACTTCATTGGTGCCGGCACCGGGGATCGAAATCACGTTGCTCGAGCATACAAAATTAAAGGCGAGCATTCGAACATTGAGCTATCACGGATCGTATAGCTCAGTGTCCTAATAATATATCTGTTAATAAATAATTTATACAAATTCATAGCCCGTATTCGTCGCCGATTACGAGCTCGAATTAGACCGCCTGCATCACTCACCAGCTCGAAGCTACACCAGTCCAGGGCGAAAGCGGCGTCGCGGAACAGCCGCTCGACGGTGGTGCGCTTGTAGTCCCGGGGGCAGCTGGGCAGCCTGGACAGGGGGCGCACCTCCTCTCGCAGCCGCATCAGCTCGGCGGAGAACGGCGCCGCGCTGCCCAGGCGCACCACCAAGCTGGAAGGGGGTTAAGCTATTCACACTGTGGTAGGGCCACAGACAATCAGATGACTCCGTGGCACCGTTGCCAAGCTTTGGCTTCGGCCCTGGCGGTCTTGGATTCGATTCCCACACGGAACGATAATTGTGTGACACACAGGTGATTGTTTCGGACATGTGTATTTGTCCACGTGAAATTGATCCACCACGGGAACCACTGCCACATTGCACCGGCACAGTACAATTGCACCGGCACAACACCATTTAGGAAGAGGAGGCCCAAAAGACAATAGTCGTGCCGTGCTCACGGAAGATTGAGTCTACGTGTAAGGTGTGTTCCCGTGTCCCCGGCCGAAGGGACAGAGCGGGTACCCATTTCCGGGACCCCCGCATACCCCTTTTTTTTTTGTTGACGTGGGGGAAATGCCTACGCATACCGGCCCTCGCGGGGGCAAGAGCCGGTTATGTCGGACTCGCACCGACTAAAACCCCCACGATGTTACACCTAGGCGCATATCGGCAGGGTCACGGGAACGCTTTCGCACACTTCCGCGACCCTGCCAGCGCTGGCCGCCTTAGCAGCGCCCTCACAGGGAGCAACTCCCCTCTCCTCCAGGTAAGGCGCGCTGGAGCATTCAGCGCGCCTTCCTACTCGGCCCCATTTTCGCGGCCAACGAACTGACTCCCACATACCCCTGCCACTCGCCCGATCCAGTGGATCCATAAAGGGATCCATAAAGGATTTTTCCCAGTGGAACCATACTCGATCCATGAAGGATTTCTCCCACGGTAAAAATACACAACTGACCCCTCCCCATCGCTGGGCTTCAGCGGCAACCGAGCGCCCAGGTCGATGGCTGACGAGAGGAACGTCGCGTACAGGTCCCGCCTACTCTCCGTCCACAGCTTCGTCCGCAGAATGTCCTTGAGACGGGTCATCCTGTGAAATTTATTCAAACCATCCGATTGGCGGAGTTATTTAAATAAATAGGTTTCTATCTCACTTATAGCCGTGGCAGCTCTTGAAAGCGTTTTTTTTTTTCTTTTCTTTAAACTGATAAATAATTTCTTTTTCTTGTTAATAAATACATATCAAAGATATATAAACCAGAACTAGAAAAACACTATGTTCCTCACACAATATTTTTCCGGGGGCGAGATCTAACCCACACCCTCTGGCGTATGAGGCAGATTACCTATCCAATATACGAATCGGGTCGTAGGGTATAAGTAGCTGGCAAATCGTTTGGGCGAAACTCTACCAATTTTGATTGCAATGTAAGAACTAAATTGTAACTTCTGAATATTATTTTACCAGTAAAAAATTGAAAGGGAAAGCTCAGAACTAGTTACTGTATCTCGACTTTTACCGAGTCCCGTCCGTTTCACGGTCTTATGCTGCTACAAAGACCGTCACTTACTGTTGTTATTTTGTTTGCTTATTTTTATGTTTACATTTATTTTAAGTTTCTGTGTAATTACATTATTATTTTTAAGTTTTGTATGTATTCATTTGTTTTTAGACCGTGAATAAACGTTTCTTCTTCTTCTTCTTCATACAGCTTGGTGAAAACACAATTGGATGTTTTTTAAGTTATTTTACTTCTTTTGCCGTGTTTGGAAAAAATTATAAGAGTAACATTTATATGATGGAGCAAAGCGACCAAGTTCACGGTATCACCATGGCAACCAATAACAACTTTTTGACATTTTGTAATTCCAAGTTATAAGCGTTATTAACTGCATTTAATGCCATTTTCACAAACAAAGAGTACTGGACTATTTTAAGATTTTAAGAAAAATAATCATTTTTGTTAAGCTATAGAAGTATAACTTTTTACGTGCGTACACAAGTACACACAGACTTTTTTATTTTTTTTTATTTTACCTACCTAAACGATTTGACATTTTAATGACACGCGTATTTATTTTATCTTTTTCTTAAGATATGTATCAAACAGTTTGTGATGATTTCTTATAAAGGAACTTAAATTCTCTGATGTCAAGCATTAAGATAGTTTTTCTGCAATCAATTAATTGAAGCCACACCGGTGTGGTGTCTTCAATTAATTGATGTTCCATCAATTACGCGTCGTATAATCTGGGTATTAATTGACAACATTTAGATATGTTTAGTGCGTCAATGGCTATAAATTACGCATTCGTTTAAAAATATATATTTTATCTACCAAAGTTATTACTAGATTTGTAACTATCATCATTATGGAATGATGTGCAGCTTTATGTCTCCTTTTTACCAAGATTTTGCACAGACGTCATTCTCACTTTAATGAAGTAACTATAATATGTTATTTTCTGGTTCAATATTATGCGTAATTTATGAAATAAATTCCGACGGCTTGTTGCAAGACAACGTCATTGTGGACGCTAGTAGACTGGTACGCTAAAATCGCGTAGTTAAGTTCAGTAGAAAGAGTACTAGGCCCGTGGTTGTATTCTGGGTTTTAAAGCCACCTCTACAGTCATTCAAAATATTACTACACCATTTAATTAAAATGTTTTTAAATTAACAATTTTTCAGACAAGTTAACGGATTTAATTTAGGTAATTTAATCAGAAATCTAAATGTGTATACTCTTGTAATGTAGCAGTCTTATTTATTTGTAACGTAACCACAATTTCCGATGTACTGTCATTTTTTCACTATTTTGTTGTTTTTAGGGTTCCGTACCTCAAAATATAAAACAGGAACCCTTATATGATCACTCTGTTGTCAGTCCGTCTGTTTGTGTGTCACTGCCGAATTTTCAAGAACGGGTGGACCTAGCAAGTAGAAATTTATACCAGATTCTAAGGTCTATAGTCCCTATTACATGTGTAAAAATCAATTTACATTTTCGCGAAAACTTGTAAGTACCAAAATGTACCTTAATTTTCAACTTTTTTGTTTTGCGGAATCTTCCCTTTACTTTTGCTGTAAGACTTTGCTTTTAACCAAAATTGACAATTCTAGGTCAACCGGAAGTACCCTACAGGTTTTGGGTCGTATAATTGTAATACTGTCAACAGACTTCAAGTATTAATTTTTTTTGGTTCGTTTCTCCCATAGGGAAGGCAAAGGAATCCCAGGCCATACAGCCACCTTCATGTATTAAGCAATAGCCGGTGCGCGTTCACCTGTGATCATCAAGGAGGTCCTCGACATTGAGGTTGTCTATTTTGAGTTCCACTTCGTGCCGCGCCATGTCCTCTTTCGGATGGATCCTCAAGGTGACAAGAACTCGGCGGGTTTCGTAATCCTGGCGGTTCAGACCGATGATCTCAAGCTGTAACGAAAAATCTAATTATTTAATGTTTCAGCGACAACGGACAAAGCCGTTAATCTAATTAAAGAAAAAAATTCGTGACACCGGTGTTAACTTGACCACTTTTGAATGTTTCAAAAAAAAGATTGCGATAGGACTCCCGCTTTGAGTCGAATTAATTCATAATTATTTTTAACCGTTCCAAAAACATTTAAATTAGTTGCCCATTCTATTCGAAAATTTTTTTTCAATGTCAGTGGCAAGTACTTCGATCTGTTGTTGTGTTTGAAATCTTATACAGCGTGTCTTTACAATCGCGACAATAAATGAACACACATATAGAGGATAACTTTTTTAAATTGTGTTAAACATTTACTTTCTTTAAACATCAATATTTACAGAGTTAATAAATTTTCCAAAACAAAGAATTTTAGAACAGCCCTTACGTATAAAACTGTAACGTAAAGTTCATTTGTAAAGGTGACAAAGCATATGAATGGGTTGAATGAATTTAAAAGAGATAAAACATACTGTCAGAAGGAGAGACTTGTAATGCGACGTTGTGGCAACCAATGAAAAAGTCTCTGAATGTATGAATCGGTCAGTTGTAGTTGTATAAGATGTTACAAATTTTGTTTCTTTTTTACTTAATTAGTTTGTTTGAAAAATATTTATTAATTATGGATTTTTTTAACTTTAATATTTTTTTATGATTATTCGCAAGTAGCATTAGACGTGTGTTCATTTATTGTCGCGATGGTAACGACACGCTGTATAAGTTAAAATATAATAATCTTATGTCATTATCTATTATTTTCCATTGCCTTCATTAAAATTGACAAACGACAATATACTGAGATAGCAAAGAAGCTAGTTGAATTTTTGAAAATGACGGTATGAATTGTATGAATTGTTTGTACCAGTTAGTAGTGTCAAAGCACTGAAAAGTACTTTTTATTGGTTTGAGTGTCAGTATGGAGAAATCCGAAGACGTTTAAACAATAATGTTAATAATAATTACTTATATTTTTTTAATAATTTATTGTAATAACGGTCTCTATGTTTTCAACCAATATTCCCAACTTACACGCAAAAATACATCCTTAAATAAATATGCATAAATGTGAGCGGAGACACATTTATGCATATTTATTAAGGACTGAAATCAAGAAAATTCTCGCCTATCGCAATCACAAATAAGGCAGCACCCACCGTGACAGGCGACGCGGTGCCGCGCGGCGGCGTTCCGAAAATAAAGCCCGCGTGGTGTCTCCCGCTGTACACGTAACGCAGCCATGGCGGAAGCTCGGGCTTGCCCTTCAGCGAGGCGTGGAAGCGGTACTGCTCGTCGAATTCTAGAAGGGGATGAAAAATTCAACTAGCTTTAATTTAAGCCAGATAATGTAGACAGCAATTAAAGGAATCGAGTATTGAGTATTGGCTATGTATTAAATAAGGACAAAACTGTCACTTTGCACCTGGAACGAATGTCGGACGATAATTGATACAATACAACTAACGGACCGGACAGACGTTGTACTGTAAACGACTTAAATTCGACAACATAGATGAAAAAATAAATGTAGTGGACCGAATTGTGAATCTAAACCATTCTCGAATCGACCGAAAGACACACCAAAAATTTCATTAAAATCGGATCAGTCGTTTATGAGGAGTTCAATAAGAATTATAAATATATATATAAAGATATAAATGAATAAAGAAAAACCAAGAAAATCGATAGGGGGAATTCGTCCTCGCGACTAGATGCATTAAAATTAATTTTTTATCAAGAAGGCACGGACCGCAAGTAAATCATGTATAAACATGTAAAACTTACTTTTGCTTATAAATGTACTGAATGCAGTATAGCATATAATCCCTTAGGCTCTTAAAGACTTACATAAAAACGTTTGCCCATATATAATGGAAAATTTGTATCCGTGTCAATCGCAAGATATTTTTGCCATTTGGGATTTCAAGCTAACATGTCACATTTGATTATTTTAACAAAGAAAAAAATGAGTACATTTTTTTTTTTTTAAGTTAAACGGTTTTATTGAAAACAAAGATTAAAATGATGTACACAATGTACTAAAAGCTAAAAATTTATTCGGTAGGTCCTAGATACTAGTCATCACACCACTCTAATCAATTTAGGGCATTGATCAGGCATAAAAATAAAATCTTTGGGCGTATGAAATTTCTATCAAGTCAATCGCTAAATCTAAACACCATTTACATATTTACCCAGGTTACGCTATAGTTTCGTTAGATTTCATAGTTTAATCTATTCTACTAGTCAAAACCTTTCAACTGATATCCATATTGAAGAAGTAATGATAAAAGCGGTAACCCGCCATTTTGTAGCAGCGGCCATCTTGGATTTACAAGTACCAAATTTCAGATCAATGCGTCAACAGAAAGGTGGTAAATTTTTAATTACTTTCTAGATTTGACCCAAACAGGTGAAGCTAAAAAAAGAAACTTCAAAAGTTAACGAATTGTAATTTCATAACGAACATTTGGCCATCCAGTTAAATAGTAATTGTATACCCTGAGTGCGGCCTAAGTATGCCAAACTTTTTCTCTTGTTTTGTGGGGGCCGGTGAAATTTTTTTTTATGTAAAATGACAACCGCCGCCCACGGACATCTAAAACACCTGGGGGTTTCATATGCGCTGCCAACCTATTCAAAAGTGGGCTCCGGTTACCTCACTCACCAGGCGAAACGCGAAAATATAATAATTTCACTTCACATCAGTCTTCTGTGACGCCGTGGCATTTCCCTTGACGAGCCTCCCCATTCATGCAACAAAGGTTGCTGCGTGACCCTATCACAGTTAAACAATCTTCAATTTAGATATCAAAAATCTAAATAACGACGAGACCATTTTATGAATAAAAATATTTCATTTTTGTTCCCCAATCTAAAAGTGAAATAGATGGATATATGGAGTAAAATGAAAAACCAGAAAATTAAATACTCGACGAAGCTTACCTTGATAAGTCCAGTTAAATAAACCAGGACTGATGGGCACGGCGAACATCTCAGTTTCGACGGCATCGTTAACGTTCTCTGCAGCCGCTAGGCCGATCAATAACGTTGAAATGAAAAACCTGAACATTTGTATCTGAAAAGTAAGGAATATATCAAAAAGATGAGCAGGAATGTGAAAATTTCGCAACGTAGGTGGGGGCCCCACCTACATTGCGGATAGCGTTTATTGATTGACCTGCGTCCCACCGTGAGGCGCAGGTCAATCAACAGATTAAAAATAGCAATAAAAGTTATTCACAAATGAAAAAACGACATACACAATTCAAAAAGAGAGTGTTATTAACAATAACTTAATTGCTACATAAAATGCGCAAGCTTGTTATAGAAATTAATCTGAAAACCTCACAGGAGAATGTTATTGATTTGTCTAGGTACGATACTAATACTAAAAGTTTCGTCGTCGATACGTATCGCACATGAGCAGAAACTGTATATTTCACAGAGTTGCTGTGATACGCAAATATGAGTGCTCACATACGCAAAGTAATAGTGCTTTATTATACAAAACAATATTGAAACATTACATAATTTTTATTTAAACTGATTTAAGGTAAACAAAAACACTGAGCATAGCTGTTGGTAGATATTATGTTAATTATAACTTCGTACATACTACACAATTCACGTCAGCAAAACTGTAATAAAAATAATGATAGCAATTTACTTGGAATGTAAATTCTCTTCCTGCCTGAACTGAGAACTCCCTTTTTACGTTAAAAATACGCACGTAGTACGTCCCTGAAAATCGGGGCGTGACGTAAAACGAGAAACGACGTCATTGGTCAACATTCATTCGATACTCGGCTCGGTTCGGCGTTTTAAAATCGGAAACAACGTTCCGTTTCTCGTTTTGATTACTTATTCTCCGTACAAAATTAGTAAACCCAACATTAAAAAATCTTTTATTTTTATTATGTAATATTGATTTATAAATTATTCATTAAACAAGATGTTAATATTTAGATAAAAAGTAAAAATATTTTTAACAGGTTAAGTTTAAAATAAATACACATTTCACTATTCTGGTTACGGATGTATTGTAAAACAAAACGGTATTCATTCATTTACAAATGTCAGAAACAGCAAACTCGAAAACTTAAAAGGGCGAGGAGGCCTATTCGGGTGATTTTTGCAGTGTCGTTACAAAAAGAATTGTACGCGGGGATAAAATAACAATCCAAACTGCTATAATGTTATCAGCAACGGTCAGAGGCGGGGTGTTCGCGCGCGAAATCCGCTTAATCGCCGTAGTATAATGTCGTCGGGCCAACCTATTTGGCGAATTTGTTCTTAACTTGAATAGATTCCAGGATCATGTTGAAATTTAAAAAAATGGGTTCGGATAAAGTACCATTACTATTAGTGACTGCCAACGTTGGATCCATATTCGAAGACGTAAGTATTCTGTTATCGATTATTTGATTCTTGGTGAATAAGTAACAATAATGTTAAAATACCTACAATTTCAATTACCTACAATTACCTAAATTACCTACAATTTCAATTAAAATGTAGCGCTGCGTGATTGTGCTCTATATTTATGTAGAAACAGGATTATCAAGTGTTACATTGTTACGCCTGTCTGGCATTAGTTGATATGAAGGGATAGATAGATTGATGAGTACAATGTTGTGTTCTTTAGAATGTTATTAATTAGATTAACATTGTAATTTAATATCAGTTATTTTAGATTAGTAATCTTTTACTTATATAGTGTTTATTTCACCTATAGTTTTACTTAACACATAGTCGATTATCATTATTTATCTAATTAAGATGTTTAAAATTGTTGTGCAAGGTAACTATTCAGTTTATTTAATTCATTTATTTTATGTTTCACACAAAAATACTACATTTGCTATGAGTTACTCGATACTAATGTAGGATCCCAAGTCCAACAACATAAAGTACTAACAATTTTTATGTGAGAAGTTGTAAGCGAACTGGTAGTTCACATGATGATAAATTATAACTGCTGCACATGGATATTTGCAATAGGTTTGCAGATGTGTTGCCAAAGTTCGCTCTGGCTACTTTTCTCACTAGATGAAATATGATACATATCACTATTAACTTCAATAGATTAAGTAAGTTATTAACTGTTTATGTTGAAAAATGTTGTACAAATATATTATTGTCTTGACTTGATGTTGACTCTGGACAATAAATTTATATTTAACTTGACTTCTTCAAAAATCAGCAGTGCTGAATGTGATATTTTGTTAATGTTGTAACTGGATGCTGAATTTACAAATATATTAAACAATTCCAATAAAATTTATTGATGTTATAAGATTCCTTGTTAAGTTTTAGCCAAACTTATCCATACTAATATTATAAATGCGAAAGTAACCCTGTCTGTCTGTCTCGCTTACATGCAAAAACTACTGAACTGATTTAAATGAATTTTTGTACACAGATAGTTTAGCCTGAGAATGGACATAGGTTATTTTATGATTGGAAAAAGCTTTAAAATAAATACATATATTTTGAAGAAAGATATTTATCGAAAAGCTAGTATTTTATAATATCAACTCGGAATCCTCACAGTTGGACTGTAATTCGAAACGGCAATTACATATGGCCTCCATTTTCCTCCTTGTAAACGTACACCAAAAGCATACACATATAGCATAATAAACTCCATAAATTTGCATCATTTCGTTTATGGAGATTGCAATCTTTATTCTAAGCTCCGTATGCGACGCTAGTTAGTTGCGTTTTTTTATTTTGTAATCGTTACGTGTTTTCCTGTTTGCGTATCAAGCCGCGTACGTTGCCTATGTTAATAACAAATAATTCCCCTCAACAATATAATGACGTGTCGAAATGTAGCGAGTTGAAAACATCCGTCCGTTGTTTTGCTGATTCGCCGGGCTCATTGACGCGATAAACGAAACAAATAAATATGTCACGACACTTTGGGAATCGCTGACCTAGCGGTATTGTGTGACATCTACTTGGATTTTTGGCCGGCCTTATGTGACACTCGGGCTGTCTTTCCAACAGATACAGAATACAGAATTCAATGATTACACGTTTTTTTATATTATAATTGATTTATTGTATGACCTATATCATATTTATGTATATGTCTTTGTGTGTATGTACTATGTAGTGTTTTAATTTTTTAATATTATTGTAATTATTATTGTACGTATCATATTTTTTTTACTTATTTTAGTTTTGTTTCATCTTTTATCTTCGCATTAACAATTAGGGTAAGCACAAGATTAGTGTAAATAAACGTTAATAAATAAATGAAAAGAAAAGCTAAGCCATGCAACTCAATGTATTTGCACAATAGCTGGTAAAGGGTGCTGCTTTAAATCACAATGAAGATTCACACGCGTCCTTAATTGAATTTCTCGCTTCAAACGAGTTCGAAAATAACTTAACCTATTGACTAAGTTTAAATTGTAAAGTGAAAAAACATGAATTACTTGACTTAGTTATTTTTTTACTCGATCTAGTACGTGTCTGGTTATGGTATGAAAATCAAACAATCAAATTGTTTTTAAGTGAGAAATTAGTAATCGAGGTGGCGCTTGAACTGATGACTTCTGCAACATCCGTAGGGTTGCAGATGCGTTGCAGCCCTTTAATAAAGTGGGCCCCGGTCACCTCACTCACCAGGCGAAACGCAGAAGTGCAACACTTCCACTTCACATCTGACTCCACCACACATCTTCACAGCGGTCTTCGCTGTTGCATGATCTGCCCATTCATGCAACAGCGAAGACCGCTGCGTGGCCGTACCACATTTAAGTCCTATAGTTAACATCATGCACACTCCTTCCCGTGTAACCTACGCGGTTAAAGGCCCTTAGAATACGCTCATAATCTTTTCGTCAAATCGATTTAACACATCGAACGCGGTGGTTCCCTTTTTTATTTTATTTGATCGGAAATCTCACAGCTGTTAACAGAGATAATTAAGTGATTTTAAGTTCTTAAGAAGCCATTTATAAGTCTTCACATTTAGTAGTCTTGATTTATAGGTGTAAAAGAAAATAAAAAAATAAAAGGAATAAAAACACCATGAGTACAATGACATTCACTTAATAGAAAAAAACAACAGTAAAGCAATTTTTTTTTCTAACGAAGTAGTCCTCAGTAGGGTGCTTTGGCAACGGCTGGTGAGATACAAAATGGGTCAATCTCCAATTGCTTATTCATAAATTTTGCTGCCCTTATCATGAAAATAATTACTTTCATAATTTGTATAACATTTTAGAGTGTGGAAAGTTTAATAGCGAGCGTTTTGTTCTGTCGTCGGCATTAAACGTGAATACACAAACACCCGCATGCAATAAAACCATCAGGGTATTACACATCTAAACTGTGTCCTTCCTGAGAATTGCCATCGTTTTATATGTTCAACAATCAGGTCGTCAATTGACGTCACAATCGTCATCATCTAACTCCGAACACTATTTCAAGATTAGTTTTCTATAATCTGTACTAATAAATGGAGAGCCGGTTTCTTTCGTTCGGTTATACTGCGAAAACCACGAACTGATTGGATACTTATGATACTAATACCATAAGATGCAGCGTGTTTCGGAGAAGGTTTTGGTATATAATTTATATTTATATCATGCAAATTAGCCACTGTTACAATTTTCGCGGACGAAGTCGGCGATTCGTCGTGATTGTAATGCAATAAAGCTTAAGTTTGTTTATTTATTTGTTTGAACGCGCCAATCTCTGGTACTATCAGTCGGAATTGAAAAAAGCTTTTTGCATTAGATTGGGCTATCAAATTCTAATTCTAGAGGAAGGTTATAGGTAATTCAACATCACTTCGACCTACGGGGGCGAAGCACAAACGTTCCTCGCGGATGATATCGCACGGAACAGGCTACGGATAAGATTCGCGCGCGCTCTTGTAATTGACGTTCGAGAAATCGACGATTAAAAAAAAACTTTTATCAAAAAAAAAAGTATATGTATTCGTGACTATAAAATGTTGTGATAAAAAAAAGATTGAAAGCGATGTCGACTGCGACCCGAAAATGGAGAGAAATACTCTTCACGGCGCTCCTTGTATGATGTTTTTGCTTTCAGTCCCGAGACTATTAAAGCTTTATCTGACGCAGAACCGGTGGGCTAGCCAGAACCCACGTGGTTTCACGGCGCTTGTTTCGGCTGATACCCATAAACTGACTTCTAAGGTTACCGGTGTTTACCTCACTCACCAGATGTAACGCCAAAGTATAATACTTCCGATACACGCCGGTTTTCTATGAGGCTGTGGTACTTCCCCGGATTTGCCCTCCCATTCGTTCGATAGTACAGTTCTATACTAATTTAGTGTCGATGCTAATTCTATTAATGTTTTACTGAACTTATAAAACACTGGTTAGCCCAAGTCTCTGAAATCAAACCTGTAACCATAATATCGCAATCCCCTGGATATCTGCACATTTTTGTCCTAAATCCGTGGAGTAGGTATGCACGCGATGGATTTTTATAACCGGCAATAAATTAAATATAGTCACGGTCTGCAAACTGGGCCTCCATGGGCCGTAGTCTGCAACCCCTCAATTTCGATAATGTACTCATGTCCATAGCGTGAGTAATTTAGTTAGGCCCCATCGTGTTCGTGGAAAGTTAACCTTTGCATACATTGCGGTGGTATTCCGCGCCGTCTGAACTGCCGGTGCCTAGAAAACTCGCTATCCAAAGATTACATCCCATTTCGAATGTCCACAGGCACAAATGGACAACTAACTTGTTAAAATAATGAGATAATTTGAATTTCGAATTCGATGTAGAATGAAAAATTTATTTGCAAATCAACCATTATTGAGAATCGATTTTTCATGCAACCCAATACTTTGCTAAAAAGAAAAAAATTGTCGACTCGGAGAAGAAGGAGATAAACGCGAATTCCGACTTTAAAACCTGACCTGCATCAACGGAGAGAGGTACGCTACTTTTCATCAGAAGATAAAAATAGGACTGCCACTCATTCTCCCTTGAGAATGTCTAATTTGTAGAGACTGTGGTAGATTGAAAACATCTTACCCATAGTAAACTTCTTGTTTAAATTCTCGTTGTAGGAACACATGAATATTTAGGACACATTTTTACACAACGTTCTACAGTTCTAATCTTAGCAAAGCTTGTACTATGGGTAATAGATATTATAATAAACAGACATTGGAAAAACACTATCTTCATGACACAATATTTTTCCAGTAGCGGTAATCGAACCCACACTCTCTGGCGCATATGGTAGGTTCACAACCCACTACGCCAATCAGGTCGTCATGGAAAGCAAATTTGGGTTATCTCATTCAGGGCAACCTAATTAATTCCCCGTTAAGACACTAATTCTCTTGGTGCCGCCATTTGATAACGATATGTTCATTTTTCACTGCTGATAAACTTTGGAACTGACGGTGCCACAAAAATTTAACTGCATTTATTTAAACCGATGTTCTGCGAGCTATTAAACGATTAGCCGACGATCGCGTTTTAATAGCTTTTGTGTGATCATACCTATTATTCATCATAAATAAATATACATGTACGTCAATGATTCGTCATACATACCAATCATAGTGGACTGATTGTTTTAAGTCATCGAAATCCTAATCGAGGTATAATTCTAATAAGACTCCTTTCAGATTCCTATGAAAGTTACATCTTTAAGTTAATAGGTCCTAATTCGACTTTGCAAACACTGTGTCAAATATACTATATTTGAAGACAGGATCAATTTGTACATAGTATATTTGTCCTCGATGAGTAAAGAAAGAGTAAAAGTATTATCATTTTCCTTTTGACTATAATACTTTTGATTATAAATAAAAAACTTTGATCAACCTAGTAAAATTAGATTTGCACAAAACTTTTTGATGTCTATTATTTTGTTGTGCATTCTATAACCGTGTCTAAAATGATCTTTACGTTAGAGTGAAAAAGGTACTAACCCGGACGGACCTGCCCATTCCTGCAACAGCGAATGCTATTGCGTGGTCCTACCACATTTTTTTAATAACTAGATCGTTCATACTTGCTGTTATAAAGATCATATGGAAATTAGTTCATTACCCACATAGCTTTGTTGGCCAAAGTCGTCAATTGGAAGCTTGTTAAAACAAGGTACCACTTAACACAATAGTTAATTTCATTGCCATTACATATAATTTTATCTCTGAGTGTGGCAACAAGTTTCACGATGTTGTTATTAAATCCACAGCGCTTAGTTTGATCGAACTCGTTTCGTTATATTCAGAATTTGACAAAATTATTTGACGTCTAATTGAACATAATTTTGCTAATAATAGCAATTATGCACAAAGAAGACCCAAGACCGTAAATGCAGAAATCAAAAAGGGGCAGCGTGACGCTTATTTTGACAATATTTCATGTATTATTTAAAAAAGAACATGTATAATATTAGCTCCGATCTTCGTTCCTTCGAGTCTCGCCAAAACTTAATCATTCATAGTCATGTATAACGCTTATTGCTTGTGTCTTTAATGTAAGCATTACGCAAATAATTATAGGAAACAATGCTCGCTAATCTATACTGAATTTCCTGTTTAAGATACACTGTATGCGTGTCTTAAACGGCAAATTGTAAACATCCATGTCTGTCACCCATAAAGCTCTTATGGGTAACCCCCATGATGAGAGCAGGCAATTTTTTCTTTAACTGTATAGCACTTGACTATTCACCCACATGATGGAGGGGTATGCAACTGTTGATGGTGTGATGTTCTTGTGTTCGGGAGCTTTTATTATAAATCAAATACAGTAATACACTTACACCCGGTTTCCGAAAGCGCAATCAATTTTAATTTACGATAAATCTCTTGTCAATCGTTGTTTAACATGATCTGAGTTGCTAGAACGTCTTAAAACAACATTGATTTTGACTTGCAATTAGTCACTGATTAACGGACAATCAACAGAAAATCGAGTTTCTGAAAGATTTTTCGGTGGTCAACGAGCTGTTAAAGTTTTATTTAGTAATCTGTCAATTTAGACGATCAATCGTTGGTTAATAATGTATTTTTATCAAAAATCTTAGTTTATTAAAAATAAACATAATTCGCTAATACGTTGTTAGGACATTCATGTGTTCTATTACCTATTTATTAGTATGCCAACATATCATGCGATTAGAAAAAATACAAAATGAAATTCAAAAGTTAATAAATAATATGGATTCTTTCTTTTTATAAAACTTACTTGTTTATTATGGATAAAAGTTCATTTTTTCACGTTCTGTAAAGTTTTTTCTTGACATTTTGCATGTATTTATATAAATTAAATTTTATTATAGCTGGAATTTTTATGTTGGCAATCACATGGTGACAGGACTGGATACTGAATGATTTACATCAACTAACTCTTTCTATACAATAGAAAGAGTTAGTTGATGTAAATCATTCATTTCATTCATTATCATTGGTTATACAGTGATTAGCTAATTTTTCTTGAACAAACCTACCAGAAACCCAAGGCAGATTAACAAGAGATTAACAGCTGATCATTTTTGACATAGTGTTATGTGATTGCTGCTTTGATTGGCCTTTCGGAAACTGGGCATTAGAGAACTATTTATTTAATTTTATTACAACAAAAATTTCTTTGATATTGAATGAATGAACTGACTTGACTGGACAGATATTATGTTCCTATACAGATTTGTGTTCTTGCTTGTTTATTATACAATGACGACCTGTGCAAATGTGCGGGAAGTCGATGGGTGCAGGTGGCTCAGGATCATACCTACTTCGTGGCAGTCTATGGGGAGGCCTATGTTCAGCAGTGGACTCAAACAGACTGAAATGATGATGATGATGATGCAATATCAGTGGCAGTGTACAATAAAGTAAAAAGAGTAAATTAACAGCCTGTAAATATATCCGACTAATGGGCAAAGACCTGCTCTTTTACAGAGAGTATGGCACAGTCCACCACGCGGCCCCACTGCGGATTGGCGAACTTCACATATCTTCCGAATATTTTTTTTGTTATTTCGAAAATATGCAGGTTTCCTCACGATGTTTTCCTTCACCGTTCAACACGTGATAAAGTCAGCACTTAAAATTTACGATTTCTGCTGGCACCGGCGATCTAAATCAGATTGCTCGAGCTATCACGGCTCTATACAATAAAGTGTATTTCATTCATTCATTCATTCATTCATTCATTCACTCAGCCGTCCGTGATGCTGCCAATCTGGACATCGGAGTTCCTGCAGGCGGTCTCCCGCATGGACCCCAAGTTCATCGCCCTCCACCTGCAAGAGGTAGGCGGGAAGGCGTACGAGAGGTCGATGCAGTACGTCCAGGACTTTGTTCAGCGGCTGTGCGACTGCCCCGAGCTGAGGCTGTTCGACAAGGTCCGGATCTTCCTGGACGAGGACTTCAGCTCGCCGGAGAAGTTCACGGTGAGCGGCCACTATGTTTCCATATCTATATTAAGCGGACGCGTTGACTATATACCGCGAGTCTGTGTATGTCGTACCATTTTTTTTTATTTCGTTCGTCGACTATACTTATCTAAGCGCCTATACTTTTCTTTGCACAACCTCGTCCCATATACCGATATAGGACGATACCAAGACTAATACTACTATGACTTCATTTCTAACTAGCCTTGTCCCCGCACGGTACGCAAAACTGATATCACGATTTAAGTAATAACGGTGGTTAGTAATTTAATAAGAGCGTTTGGCAACTGTAAGTTATTTTAACTTGCAATTGATAGCGCACCTTGCCATCATTACGCGCTGTGAACAGAAATTTGCTTGCTCAATAAGTTGCCGTTCTTGTCAGGACTGTGATTTGATGCTTGGCGTAATTGCCGTGGAACATGATTTATTTTCTGGCACGAATGTCGTTTTTATCAAACTATGATTTGTATTCACCGGCTTGTGGCACTTGTCAAATATGTTGGCACCGTAGTTTTGTTTACTCTAACTTCTCGCATAAAACTGTTCGCAATCAGGGACGATGTAGTTTTCATTTCTTATAAAAGTTAGAATCTGCTCCGTAGTTTCAGTTCAAACTTAATCGATTAAATACAAGCAAACTGTTTTCTATATGACATTAATAGTTACCTGCTGAAACTTATTTACTGAAACATCAGTAAATAAGCATATACAAGGTTCACGATTTCCTTCTTACAGTACCAGCCGAAATAATTAAAAGTTCTACAATGCTGAACACTGGAACATTTCTTAATTCAATAGAGGATTCCAAAATAATAAGAATTACTTATCCCGGTGGTCGTAACACATATTTTATATCATTATTATAGTATTCCTGGATCACAATCATAATGGCTCAATAATTATGTACACAGAAATATTTTATTTTATCCATTGTATTTTTAACATGGGTAATATCATAATCTTTACTTCCTGTACTCCTACTCTGTATAAACTTTGATTATTAACTTTTTACTAATGTGCGAACGGACAGAACTTTATTCTTTGAAGTATCACAAAATCTAACTATACAATTTTGATGACTCCGTGGCGCAGTCGCCAAGGTATCGGCTTCGGCGCCGGGGGTCGTGGGTTCGATTCCCATGACAACTATTTGTGTGACCCTCAGACAGTTGTTCCGCATCTGGGTGTTTGTCCGTGTGAAATTTATGTTTTTTTAAAAACGTCCTTACAACACAGGATAATGTTATCCCAAAGTAAGGGCGTTTTTAAGAATAAAAAAAAATGGTGCGGTTTGCAAAGTGGATTATGCACTATGGTCGCATGTTTAATATATTATATTATTGTTGTTTATCTATCAAATGTCAACACGTTGTTCGTCATGTCAATCCGACAGAACGACCACAGCCTTCGCATCTGTCAATTCGCTGTGGTCAAACGCTGTCAGTTTTTAACTGTATTAAGTGGCATTCATGTTATACTCTGTGGCTGCTCAGGTATTAAGTGACGTCGAATGTCATACCTACTCTGTGGCGGTAAGGTATTCAAGCATTTTTGTTGAGTGTAAGTTCGTTGTAAGTTGTAACTTATAAACTTGTGGGTACGATCCAATGTTTCCCATGAATTCTAATAATAATAATAATATACTTTATTGTACACCAAAAAATAAAAATAAAAAAGTACAATTCTATTACATTATAGGCGTTACTTATTGATTAGTCATCATCAGAACATGATCGCCTGTCTGTTTTAAAGCGAATCTCGTAATGTATGACTTATTCTTGAATATTATGTATGCAGTAATTCACATTAATGTTAATGCTATAGTTTTTGGCGTTCATAAGAGCTTGAAACAAACGGAATTGTATGAAAAATTGACTGGATACAATTGCGTATAAATTAAAAACCGGCCAAGTGCGAGTCGGACTCGCACGCGTAGGGTTCCGTACCCACTATGTAAAATATATAAAAACGGAAAAAAATCGTGTATAGCGGCAACAGAAGTACATCATCTGTGAAAATTTCAACTGTCTAAAATTCATAGTTCATGAGATACAGCCTGGTGACAGACGGACAGACAGACAGACGGACAGCGAAATCCTAGTAATAGGGTCTCATTTTTACCCTTTAGGTACCCTTAAAATAGTCGCGAGGTTTCTTAGCACCAATGAAACCATGCAATTAACTCGCGAATAATTTGCATGTTCAAAGAATTCTTCACTATACGGCCACTGCATAATGTACTTTTGCCATAGATATTCCGATTCGCGAACCGCATTCATTACCGTTGAAGCCTCACACAGTATTATACAGACATGCAGACAACTGTCCATATGCCAGCGTGTCTGTGTCGAAACGCATTTTGCTATGTCACACAAGGTAATTTATGAATATGTAATAACGTAAACGTAAACGAGAACGTAACTCAGTCGTGACGCGTCAAGTACTTTCCCGCTATTCTTGACGTCACCGTTTGCATTCCTGCCAATGCTTGGTTTACCAATGTTATGAGTAATCAAAATACTAATTTCCGTGTTTACTTCGCGCAATACAAGGAAATGTTTTTGTGTGATTCAACAATTAATTTTATAATATGCGTTTCTGTTATATGGGACGTGTTACACCCATTTTAAATGTTAATGTGCCGTTTATATCACTTGGTTTCGTAATTATCAGTTGGGTTTATTTTTGGTGTGCTTAACTTTCATACCGTTATATTATTCTTTTTAATGTATATTATTTATATTATTTTATTTAATGTTATTACTTTAACATTATTATTTAAATTTTTGTATATTATATTGTATACTAGCGATCCGCCCCGGCTCCGCACGGCTGCAATGCTGAATGTTTGTTTTCGACATTGCATTAGAAACCTCTTAAATAAATTATCAGTTTTTCTCTACTATATTATGCATGAATTATACATATTTATTAACTTATTTATTTATTTAAAGAACGCAAACATAATGTACACTATTTAAGACTAAGGAAAATAAATATACATCAACTGTTCGTTAGTGTCATTACAATTAAAGGCGCTGACGGCATGCAATATAATGGGCGAGAAAAATACAGTTAAAGATATTTTTTTTTCTTACAAAATCCAAAATTAAAACAAGAATTAATAAATTAAAAACAAATAATTGATAAAGGAAATAACAAAAACATTAAAAAACAGATATAAACAGTGAATAAACAGTACAATAAATTTAGGTATGATTTATACATGGACTATTTAAGTTTCTACAAGTAAATGAGGAGAACAGGAAATCTGTTTGACAATAAACCAGGCGAAAACAGTTAAAATAAAATAAATACATATTATAAACCTTCCTTCTTGAATCACTCTATCTATTAAAGAAAACCGCATCAAAATCCGTTGCGTAGTTTAAAGATCTAAGCATATATAGGGACAGACAGACAGCGGGACGACTTTGTTTGTGATTGGCAAAAGATTTTAACTGTGATAGGTTACGAGTAAAGGCCCATTTACACGGTGCCAGTTTCTTGCCTGTTGTATACAATTAAATTGAAGCAATAAATGAGTTGCATGGTCTAAACAACAAATGGTCTTAACAATTATTGCGCGCAATTTATTGCATTCAATTATTGCTCTTGTATGTACAAGAAAATGGCATCGTGTAAATGGGCCTTAAGTCATGAATGCAGTACCACGACCTCACAGTGGACGCAACGTGTATTAATAGAATTATTATTTTACGTTTCGTCTGCTCATCGGAGCTCGATGTTTTTAAAGGTTGGCAGCGCATCTGGTGTTATCGATAGTGAGGTATTATGTCGACTAAACTTTATATTAAATCGTTTGCATCGTCTTCTCTAATGATTTATTCATGTATTCGTTAGCACTAGACAACGTTTGTATTTGGTATACGGCGACAAGGCGCACCACATATGACGTTCAGGCCAATGATAAATAACTTTGATGAAAGGAAAGGATAGCAGTATCTATTCATCTCTGTCTACCCCGTTAAGGTCAAAAGACGCGAGGACGTTTATTCTTTTTCTGTGTTCATTTGTCATTTTTCTTGTATACTTCACCAGGCATTAGGCAATATGTACTTCGCGCATTCCACTCTCACCGACATCAAGATCTGGGACTTCGACGCGAAGAGCTACGTCGACGTGGTGGGTAAGGAGATCAACAGCGGCAACATTGAGAAAGTGACAACCAAAGAGAAAGCGAAATTTCCTCAACATTTCTTCCCCGAGGTAAGTTGATTGATACGATTTTATCTACCTACTCCATAATTTGAAAAGATTTTTCATTCTTAGCGCTCGATTTTGGTTCTGTTTAATGTTTCTCATTTCTCTATTTCAATAATTATAAAATTGTGTATTAACGCCAAAATAGTAAATATCGATGTTACGTCTTAGCTATACAGTTTCAATTAACTTGGTCCTTCTAGCCGGATCGCAGTGCGCACTTTTATTAAATTATTAGTTGTATAAATTACAATTATTAGACTGCATCTTTATGAAGCTTAAATTTGACTGGGCTGGTCATGTCTGTCGCATGCCTAACACCTTTTGGGCCAAAGCTACTACTGAATTGGTCCCACAAAATGTAAGACGGGCACGCGGCAGGCCCAGACGAAGATGGCGCGACGAACTGGACGAATTTGTGAGGGATTGGTCCAATATAGCCCACGACAGGAAGAAGTGGCAGCAATTTAAGGAGTCCTTTGCCCAACAGTGGGACACTAATGGCTGATAAAGTAAAGTAATCTTTATGAAGAATATAATTATATTATCAATCTAGGAGTGAGTTTCCTCTATGTGACAATGAATTTAGTTAAATCCGCTATCAGTAAAGATGCACTTAATGTAATATTTTTAAATATGGTTCTGTGACATGGCCTTCTGAAGGTCGCTTTAACCATGTATTTTTGGTCATACAGTTGATATCATTTCCTCATTCGAACGGGACGCTTTGCTTAGTCGTAATGCGTAATCAAAGGATCTGAACAATTTACCAGCGCTCGTCTTTCCGTTCGAATGCGGTGTGGGCGTGACTCAAGGCGACCGCGAATCGGCTATGGCCAGGAACGCTTTTACCGCCGACCACCACTTGCAATTTACCATTTGGTCTATTATACTCTGCGTAGTGTTGGTTCTCCACTCTGACTTTGATATCGTACACGGGAGATCGTATATTACGCGTATACTATCATATTCAGTCTGATGAGTGAGGTAGCCGGGGCCGAGTTTTACAATGTTTGGCAACGCATCCATGGGCGGCAGACATCAGGTGAACCTTGCCAGCTGTTCACATAAAAAAAACGGTAAAATCAGGAGAGACGCAAAAATATAACTACTTCTTCTCTTGGTCTCTTCTTTGGTCGTCTATCAGGCTCTGTAGCATGCTGATTGGTAATTGGTCACAACAGCTGTACCACAGTGTGTCCAGGGGCTGGGGCCCACGACCTAGGTGGACCCAGCCCCTGGACAATGTTTTTACATATTTTTTGTCACAATATGACAATAATAATAATACATTAATTTAATATATTTATAATATATATGTTTCTTTTATTTATAATCCCAAGCAGACGAGAAAACAAATATAATATAATGTTATGTATGATTACAAACGCATTATTCGCTTAACACACTATGTGGAAACCCCCCCCCGGCACCAAAGCTGGATCCGCCCTTGACAGTGTAAGCTAATATAATTGATTTGCTGAAGTTAAAGTAAGATATAAATAAAAAAATACTAAGAGAAGCGCTGGAGAATAAAAAAATAATATTTATTTATTTTGTTTAAATTAATTATTTTATTCATTATATTGATTTCTCTGTTATTGGACTTTTGACTCAGGAGATAAATCAGGAAACTCCTCAAAATTAAACAGATATGAAATGTTTTCTTTCTTGTTAATAAAAATATTGTGTTAATAAAAATATTGTATTATATTTACCATTTTTATTTTATTTTATTAGGGATAACAAACAGCTAGAATGCATGATATAAATAGAAAATTCCTGTGGTGAGGACGTGCTATTATTGCAGCCCACTATTCACGTATTGTACACAATTATGTATAATAATATTTTTATTATTTAATTTCATTTTATTATTTATGCTATCAGTCTAATAACTATTGCGGTAAGAGTTAAATAATACACTTGCGTCATTTAATTGCGGTGTTACGTCATTGTGGTGGTATTTACAGGATATTTGAATTAAACAACAGATATCGTGTTGGTGCGGCCACGCGGCAAGTGTACGTAAATCAGTCTGTATTCCCTAGAGCTATATTGTGTCCCCAAGTCGAAAATTGTAACAAAACTAGTATTTCTTATTCGCGCTCCATACGAGTAGATTCTCGTATTCACACTTCTCGATAAATAGAAAACGACACAATTCTCCGTTTTAGAATTTGGTTTACATTTTCTTATATGTTCACCTAATGTTAAGTGATTACCGCCTTAAGACCACATAGGGGTTGTATGCAAAACGTGTAAGGACGTTACGGACACGGCATAATGCTATCCTACAGTAAGGGGACACGGCCCTGTAGTCTCAGGCTCATAGAATAGGGCTAAATGTCCCCTGCCTGTCGTAAAAGACGACTAAAAGGGCACACGGATTGGCAGCAGTTCGAAGTGGTGGATGGTAAGGGAATCGGGAGAGGTTAATTCTTCTCCGAGGCGTACCCTCACGGAGTAAGAAGCGACTCCGGCGCGTTCCGTAGGAGATCCCGGAGTCCCTCCAAACATACAGAAGGAAGCCACCGTGGGGGTTTTAGTGTACACTAAAATACTATAATAACAATTTGACAACACTTTAATCTTATATATAAAAATGGATTGCTGTTCGTTAGTCTCGCTACAACTCGAGAACGGCTGGATCGATTAGGCTAATTTTGGCTTTGAAATATTCGTGGCAGTCCAGGGAAGGTTTAAACGATGAGAAATTACGGAAAAATTGCATAGAAAATCGAAATAACAACAATTTTATCTTCCCATACAAACTGTACCTGTCAACCTGTCAACTATGTCTGTCAAACACTTCCAAATTCCCTAGAAATAATTTATATGGCAAAACAACGTTTGCCGGGCGAGCTAGTCTTCTTCCTATATATAAAAATGGATTGCTGTTCGTTAGTCTCGCTAAAACTCGAGAACGGCTGGATCGATTAGGCTAATTTTGGCTTTGAAATATTCGTGGCAGTCCAGGGAAGGGTTTAAACGATGAGAAATTACGGAAAAATTGCATAGAAAATCGAAATAACAACAATTTTATCTTCCCATACAAACTGTACCTGTCAACCTGTCAACTATGTCTGTCAAACACTTCCAAATTCCCTAGAAATAATTTATATGGCAAAACAACGTTTGCCGGGCGAGCTAGTCTTCTTCTTATATATAAAAATGGATTGCTGTTCGTTAGTCTCGCTAAAACTCGAGAACGGCTGGATCGATTAGGCTAATTTTGGCTTTGAAATATTCGTGGCAGTCCAGGGAAGGTTTAAACGATGAGAAATTACGGAAAAATTGCATAGAAAATCGAAATAACAACAATTTTATCTTCCCATACAAACTGTACCTGTCAACCTGTCAACTATGTCTGTCAAACACTTCCAAATTCCCTAGAAATAATTTATATGGCAAAACAACGTTTGCCGGGCGAGCTAGTCTTCTTCTTATATATAAAAATGGATTGCTGTTCGTTAGTCTCGCTAAAACTCGAGAACGGCTGGATCGATTAGGCTAATTTTGGTCTTGAAATATTGGTGGCAGTCCAGGGAAGGTTTAAACGTTGAGAAATTATGGAAAGATTGCATGATTGCGGTTCGAACCCGCAACGATTATAAATAAATAGAGAGACGTATCTTTTGAAGATTCAAACGATACAACAAGAAATGCGGGGCACTATTTCTTTGTGGTATCGAGGGGAAATGTTCGGAAGGGAAGACCGCTAAGATCTTCTCGGTCGCTGTGGTAGTTGGGGCTTTCCGCTCGACCCCTTCCACACAGTGTATATTTTTTTTTTTATGTGAAAAAGTGGCAAACAAGCTGGTGGTTCACCCGATGTTACAAATGCGTTGCCACCTTTAAACAGATCGGGCCCCGGCTACATTACTCACCAGACGAAACGCAGAAGTGTAATGCTTTTCTACTACTTTACTAATTTGCTTTTCTGCCGTGATAGCTCAGTGGCCGGGCGCTGGCCTTTAATTCAATATACTCGAGCAACCTGAGTTCGATCCCAGGTGCCGGCACCAATGAAGTTTTTTAACTTTAAGTGCTGTCTTATCACGTGCTCCGCGGTGAAGGAAAACATCGTGAGGTCACCTGCATATTTTCGAAATTATAACAAAAAAAAAATATTTCGAAGATATGTGAAGTTCGCCAATCCGCAGTGGGGCCGCGTGGTGGACTGTGCCCTGACACCCTCTGTATAGAGGAGGCCTTTGCCCAGCGGTGGGACATGTATAGGCTGTTACTTAACTTTTACTTCACTATATCCGCAGTGCAAATGGTCTCGCAAGGGCTTCCTGCGCACTCGATGGTTCCTGCGAGGCACCGCGGTGGAGTTCGTCAACATACACCTGTTCCACGACGCGTCGAACCTTCTGGCAATGGAGTCATTTCCTTCGGTAAGGGAGCTTCCTTTACTCCAGAGTAAAATCACCCGAAGCAAGTGCCCCCTTTTTTGTTGTAGGATATGTTTATTCAGTGACCACAAGTGACCCGAGTTGAAAGCCCGCTCTCTCTCTCTCCAACTTTTGCGTTTCCAAGAGTTGCTCAGCACGTCTAAAACCCACACCACTGGTCACAAACGAAAATTAATCGTTCGTTTCATTCATACAAATAAAGGAACGTCTCTTATCTACTTTAATTTTATTGCTTTTTTTTATGCGAAAAGTTACCAAACGAGCAGACGGGTCACCTGATGTTAAGTGAATACCGCCGCCCATGGACATCTGCTACACCCGAGGGTTACAGATGCGTTGACAACCTTTTGAAAATTGGGCTCCGGCTACCTCACTCACCAGACGAAACGCGAAAGTATTTGTTGGTTATTTATAGCAATTGGCAGGACATTTTAAATCAGGTCTTGTAAGTGACTATGAAAAATACCCGTCTGTTTGAAGCACGCCGCTTCCTTCATGAGACTGGTCCCCGGTTACCTCAGTCCCCGCTAAGCGAAATGCAAAAGTAAAAATAGCCTATGGTCGACGTCTGTATTATGTACGGACGACCAACGTTGTCCGACGGTCTTCCCCGGGCAATAACAGCAAATATACATGTTTATATATGTAAAATATATACATGTACTTACATATAATAATTGTCTACAAATATTGAAGTTTACTATGGCTTTTCAACGCTTAATTGATAATCAAGAAATCACCGTTCGCGTAACATCACATTTTTCTAAACGCCAATCTCACTTTTCGTAACGCTCTCGTCACGCATTCACCAGCTCACTCCCCTAATCAAGTGTGCGTAAAGAAGTTTTAGTTCAAAAAGCGAGTTTGTGTACTTACGTAAACGCCGTAAAGTTATTATGGATTGCTTTTGTAACACCATACAGTTTGTGTGTGCATCGTGAAAATTCTCTCCCATCATTCTTCGAAAACGCGCGTAAAAAACTATAACTTCGAAAAGGCATCTTCCCAAACGCGTGTATAACATTATAACTTCAAAAAGGCATCTTCCCAAACGTGTGTATAACATTATAACTTCGAAAAGGCATCTTCCCAAACGCGTGTATAACATTATAACTTCAAAAAGGCATCTTCCCAAACGCGTGTATAACATTATAACTTCAAGAAGGCATCTTCCCAAACGCGTGTATAACATTATAACTTCAAAAAGGCATCTTCCCAAACGTGCGTAAAACACTGTAACTCCAAAAAGGCATACGTCACCGCTTGCAGGTCTACTGCCGCAGCCGCCGGCGCGCGTTACGTCACACCTTGCGCCACCTGCACTCGGACGCAAACGGCGCCCCGTACTTCATATTCGGCGACTTCAACTTCAGAACGGACACAGGCGCCGTTGTCAAGGTGATACACTATTGTATTGCAACAATTATTGTCCGTCTGTTTGTTTTTTACCCTGACTGCACCAGAAGGAGGGTTATGTTTTTGTGTGTGTATGTAATTTATGTATAATTGTTTGGCACGCTCTGCAGCCTGAACGGCTTGATTTATGATATTCGTGTTTACTGTGTGATACCGGGTATATCAAAATAAAAAATTAGACAAAAACGCAGGCGGTTTTTTTTAGGTTTTCAAATTATATTCTACTTTTTTTTATCAGGACTTACAGAAATCAGTAAAAGACAAAATAAGTAAATTATATAACCGTACTTTTGGCGCTAGTGACGCCCATGTGCTAAATTGGTATCGCTATAATATACTATTTCTGAAAGGTATTTTTTTATCGGTACGCTATTAACTTAATTTTTTATGAAATGCAATGATTCGAACACCATTTTGAGGTTATTTTGACATATAGAATAATTTTTAAAGTTTTCAAAAAATTATTTATTTTTAAGAATATATGATAGTGCCATCTATTGACACTTTGTTTAAATGTCAGCGAAGTACACTGTATACATTATTATGTAAGCAATCGGTGACTGATCATTTCCCAAAAGAACTTCCAATGTAGTTTACTTTTCTTCCAGAAGAAAGCTCCTAAGTTGGTTCGTGCCGCTATAAATATCGAAGGTCGGTGCGTCAGCCCGCCAAGTCACGTTTTGAAGGTGACAGAACGTTCCAGAAGGTGACCGAGGGCCTGGCCGCCAGCAGGGTGCAGGCAGGGGGCGCCGACTCCTGCAAGCTGCAGTACCGCGCCAGGAGTGACGGCAGACTGGTGCTGGCCGTAGGCAAGAAGGAGTTCGCCCACGCGGACCACCAGAAAATATTCAGGGAGCCGTGGGTGCGTCTAACGGATTCGCTCGACAACAGTACTTCCCAAACTGTTCTTACAAGTCCCATTGTCGAGCAACCTTTTTGTGAGGGTCAGAGCTCAGTCCGATAGCAGCCACCTAACAACTGTTTAGCACATACCTCTTTACGAGGGATCAGAGCTCAGTCCGCTAGAAACCACCTAACAACTGTTTAGCACATACCTCTTTACGAGGGATCAGAGCTCAGTCCGCTAGAAACCACCTAACAACTGTTTAGCACATACCTCTTTACGAGGGATCAGAGCTCAGTCCGCTAGAAACCACCTAACAACTGTTTAGCACATACCTCTTTACGAGGGATCAGAGCTTATTCCGCTAGAAATCACCTAACAACTGTTTAGCACATACCTCTTTACGAGGGATCAGAGCTCAGTCCGCTAGAAAACCTTATTAATTGGTTTGTTACAATTGTATCATTTCTTTGATACTCAGTTTTTCACTCTACTGTGTGTGAGGGTATCGCTACCGAACACCACACGAGCTAATTACGATTATGACAAAATTTTATGACCGACCGGTTCATAGCAAATTATTTTTAAAACTTATGTACCACAGCTTATATGTCCTACTGCGCATAGAGCTCAGTGCACTATTAGAAGTGCAGTAATTAGAGCAAACTCCGCGACGGGATTTCCCCACCGCGAGTTGGCGGGTCGAAATATTATTTGAGGAAATCGCGAATTAATAATAATAATAATAAATTTTAGGACACGTTCTTTTTACACAACATTCTCTAGTCTCAAACTAAGCAACTGATAGACATACTTAAACATACTTTTCTTTTGTAAATAAATACACATTATACATATATAAACACCCAGACACTGGAAAAACACTATGCTCATTACAAAATATTTTTCCAGTAGTGGGGATCGAACCCACACCCTCTGGCGCAGAAGGCAGGTACACTACCCACAACGCCATTTGGGTCGTTGCTGCGCATTCGAAAGTTTGGAAGTTTATCAATTCCATGAACATTTTAATTCGCAGAAAAGGACTCTTATTTACATATCAATTGCGTCATCAAAGCGCGGGTGCTCTGCCAAGCGAGTATCGCGATTGTATACCGTCAGCGCATGCCGTAAGGTCGATTTTCGTCCGCAGCTGCAGCGCTACGACCGCGAGCTGGAGGCCCTCCGGCCGCACCTGTTCGAGTTCCCGGTCAAATTCCCTCCGACATACCCCTTCGAGGAGAACGTCGAACTGCCCACCCACTACATGAAGACCAGGTGACTATGCTTATACATATATAAATGGGACACACACACAGAGCAACACTAGATGAATTTAAACGAAAAGTTAAAAGTAAACTTATGGCTAAAGCATATTATACCATTGCAGAATATCTTGACGACGCCAAGGTGTGTGGTTAATGCTGTTGATACTCACGTAGGCTAAAATGACATACTTGTTCTATTATATTGTAAACTAATCGTTTTAAAAAAAAAGAGCAACTGTTGAGTTTCTTGCCGGTTTCTTCTCAACAGAAACTGCTTTCCGAACCGGTGGTAACTTCGAACGTATAAATTTTTATGTAAAATTTTTGACATTTCACAAGAACGCGCAAGCGTCTATGTGAATAAAATATATTTTTGATTTTGAACACTACTAGATATAGACAGGAAAGCAACACTACTAGGTTTATACAGGATGTTCCTCTTTTATATTGAATATTTGATAAAACACATTAGGTGTTTGGTTTCATTATGGAGTGGACTAACATTGGACTTCACAACAAGCTTAGTGGTTAAAGCGTCAGGCTGCGAATGCCGAAGACGTGGGTTCGATTCCCACAGCGGCGACAATCTTTTCGTACTTTTTCTACATATTTTAATGTTCAATCTTAAATGCATAGATTAGCACTATAAACAATTTAAATTTCACACATTCCACTAAAACTTTTAGGTATATAACATGACATTTTGTGTGTATGTATATGAATATGGCATTCAGGATAGATAAGTCGAATGAAACGGAAAACTCATTGGGGGTAGGATTATCTCTTAATATCAGCTTCACAAACCAATACAAAACAGGAACGACCCAATAACCTAAGTGCTGACTTAAATTTCTGATTTGATACCTCCATGGCGCAGTTGCCAAGGTATTGGCTTCGGCGTCAGGGACCGTGGGTTCGACTCCCACACTGGACATCTATTTGTGTGACCCACTGATAGTTGTTTCGCATCTGGGTGTTTGTCTGCGTGAAATTTAAGTTTGTAAAACGTCATTACAACACACGATAATATTATCTTAAAGTAATGGCAATGTTTTTTTTATAAAATAAAAAAAAAATAAAGTTTCATTGCTGCTTGCTCATGCCAAACTGCATATTTACGATATAAAATAAATATGTCGAAAATGTGTAATACCCTTTGATCCGCGGTAGGATCGCATGGTGGACTAATGCGCTCTTTACAGAGCCTTTGCCCAGTAGTGGGACACAAATCGACTGTTGCTTTACCTCATATTCTGCACGTGCCATTTGATACAGGTGCCCGGCCTGGTGCGATCGAATCCTGCTGTCGGCGGCCGCTAGACTACTGCTGCAGCCCGACGCGCCCCGCGCTTCCCACGCCTCCAGGTAACGCAAGGTCGAAGCCACCCAGCGGTGGGCTATTGCATTTTTTTTACGTAAGAAGGCGGCAAGCGAGCTGACGCTTCGCCCCATGTTAAGTGATAATTTCCGCCCATGGATATTTGCAACGCCCGGAACCAGTGAAAATTACAAAAGAATTACAAAGTAATCTATCCACGAGGGATAACAAATCCAGCACCAGGTTCCCAGACAAATATCACACAGATATTACGACGAGGAACGTGTTCTGATTTCAACCTCTAGCCATGCACTGTAAAAAAGCGAATTGATAAGAAAACGAAATACGTAAACAAAACAACCACTGGCATGAACAAAACCAAGTACTTACTAGTCGAAGATAATGGATCCACAAAAACTAATTTATCCAGTGACAATTCGAACCGGCGGCAATCTCAAATGACATGAACGACCAAATGAAGTTAACTTTTACATTCGTCCTTTCGAACAGGCAAAGGTTCCTATAACATGCAGCCTAGTCTTCAGAAAAATGACAATTCAGACAAAGTGATGAAATCACACGTTAAAGGCGGCAGATGTGTTGCCAGTTTTAGGCTCCGGCTACCTCACCCATCTTACAAAACGCAGAAGAATAACACTTCCACATCACGTCGATCTACTGAAAGGTTGTGGTAGTCCCCGAACGGACCTGCCCATTCGTGCAACAGCAATTACAGTTGCGTAGCCCTACGACAGCTTTCCTAATTTGTGTATTTTTTCCCAAAATAGTTTGTTTAATGTTCTATTCACGACTCATCATCACACTCCTGCCCTCATCTCACCTAGGTGGGACGGCACATGTAAATTGTGCTGTGTAGTTGTCTTGTTGGCCACCTGCTCGATTGCAACCCTCCTTGGGACGTCTAGATCTAGAAGTCTAACTTGTGGGTCACACAAACACTTCGAATCACAAAAAATCAAAAGTTTATTTCCAACAATACAATACTATGTAAAATGTCAATATAATTAATTATCTTGTACGTTAAGTAGAGCATTCAGCTTGCAAGCAATCGTGCAAATAAAGAAAATAAACATTCCATGAATAAATAAAACTGTTAAAATCCCAAGTAACACTATAAAAACATTTGTTAAAGATCCAGTCACAATTATTTTCTAAAGCTATTTATTTCCCTTCTAAAATTCTCTGTCTCTTAGGCAATTTATAATGAATCAATAAAAACATGCAATTAATGCTTTTCTCATAAATCCACATGCCACAAAGTGGCAACTCGAACCCACTACCTCCGCCAATGTCTTGGCAACTGAGCCACCGGGTTGCTTATCGAGCTCGCTTTTGGCAGGAGGTCCGTGACTGACTCCACAGACAGCAGCGGCAGGGTCTCGTCATCTGACAGCAGCCCCGCAAGGTCCAACTCGCCGGCCAGACGGAATCACCAGGTAGGCCCATCTCAACTGAAATTGTCTACTTAGTGTGAAACAAGGATTTCAATATTGCCTTATCGTTTTATATTGATTTCTTGTTTTTAAGCCAATTGTGAAATGAAACTGTTTTACGGATTTTATCGCCTACAATTAGATAAACAAATCTAGATAAACAAACATCGTGAGGAAACTTGCATATTTTCGAAAAAATAACAATAAAATATGTGAAGTTAGCTGCGGGGTTGCGTGGTGGACTATGCCCTAAAACCCTCTGTACAGAGGAGGCCTTTACCCTGCAGTGGGACAAATATAGGCTGTTACTTTACTTCACGTTTGATTTACCAGCTTCCTTATGTTCCCCAGTCCAGCCCCGGCAAGGCGCTGGAGAAGAAGGGCAGCGTCGCCGAGCTGGACGCGTTGCCGCTGCCCGGTGTGGCGGTCAGCAGGAAGAGCATCGCCGACCCCACCAGCGTGCAGCGGGCGCTCGACGCGCGGTGAGTGTGGCTTGTGCACTATGGAGGTCCAAGGTCGAGTCCGCGGAGGTCGGCCACTATACCGTTTGCAGAGAATTCGCTTCCTACTTTGCGTTTCCTCAAGTCGAATCTTTTTTTTTATGCGAAAAGTTGTCAAACGAGCAGACCGTTCATCTGATGTTAAGTGAATACCCATGGACATCTGCTTCTCCCGAGTGTTACACTTGCGTTGACAACCTTTTGAAAATTGGGCTCCGGCTACCTCACTCACCAGACGAAACGCGAAAGTATTTGTCATACTTCCACTTTACGCTGGTCTTCTGTGAGGTCGTGGTACTTACCCAGACGGGCCTGCCCATTCGTGCAACAGCCGAGGCTGCTGCGTGGCCCTACCATCGTGATCTGGTGAATCTGCGGACATCGGCTACTACCTATACCGTTCGCAGAGGATTCGACGTAGAGCTGTGAGTGTGGCTTATGTACTTTGCGTTTCCTCGGGTCGAATCTGCGGACTTCGGCTACTATACTGTTCGCAGCGGATTCGACGCAACAGGTTTGGAGATGGTATTGTTATTTACACGTAAAAAAGAGCGGGAAAGCCTTTTTGGAGAGCGTATGCACGCCCTGTAGTAGTGGGCCGATCCAGGAAAACGGTAAAGATAATCTGCCTTGGCCACAGCGGTTATCGGGAGGTGCATGCTTAAACGGTGTGTTTAATATGTGTGCGTTGTTCGCAGCGGGGAGGGCGAGGCGGGGCCGGGGCGGCGGCGGCTGGTGCGCAACCAGTCGGAGGGCTCGCCCAAGGCGGAGGCGGGGGAGGCGCGCAGGGCGGGGGAGGCGGGAGGGGCGGCAGGGGCGCCCAGGAGGAGGGCGGACTACGGCGTCATCGGCGACGCGGCCTGCATGGGCGACCACAAGGTAGCCCTTGCTCGGGTCGCGGGTTCGATTCCCTCGAGAGAGTGGCGCTGTGAGGGCCCTTATTGGTACCCTTACACTCGGCCCGTTCAGCTTAAGATGGGCAGGCTCGTCTTGAGGGGTTACCACGGCCCCACGGAAGAAAGTGTTACACTACTGTGTTACCTGCAGTAAGTGAGATGATCGCGGCCAGTTTTGTAGGTGGCAACGCTTCCGCAATCCCACTGACGTTGTAGGGTGACGGTTATCACATAACCATAAAAAAGAACCCATTTTCGCCTCGTCGGTGACCCATTTGTAAGTGATCACTTCTGAGGACCCCCATCTTCGCTCGTTTCATCTTCTTCTGTAACCAAACAACTGAGACGACCGGAGCGTCCGGCGTCCCGTTCGATCGTTTCGCTATTAGCCATTAACAATTTTTTAATTGTGTCAATATTGGTACTTCATTAAAATTTGTAATATTTACTTTGATATGTTATTTTTTAATACGCTCAAAAACCCACACTGAATAAACTTAAACATTTTTTGGGCTGCTATCATTCCTCTAACTGGTTTCCGAGCGAGCGCTGTGGCTGAACTAACGAAACGCTTCCTCCGCAGCCGATCTACCTGCGCGTGCTGCTGCAGAGCGAGCGAGGTAGGCTCCCCGGCGTCTGCCGCGCCCCCTGCGCCCTCTGCCCGCCCCCCGCCCCCGCACCCCCCGCACCCCTCGCCCGCCTCCCGACAGACCCCGACCTCTCAGCGCACAGAGCGCCCCACCCGCACGAGCTCGGCTCCCGGCTGGCCCGCGCCGGCTCGATACCCTGCGTGGAGATCACCGGCGCCGAGCACGCCACCTGCGAGCGGATCTTCGCGGACGAGATCGACGCCTCGCTGCTCAGCCCCGCCCGCCACTGGGGCCCGTACACGCCCGAGAGCGCCGAGTCGCGAACGCCCAACGCGGGCCCGGACGGGGACCGCAGCGTGTCCCCGACGCAGCTCAGGAGCCGGCTCGACATGCTGCTGAGCGCCGGGGACCCCCCCGCCCCAACGCTCGCCCCCGCCCCCGCCGAGCCGCTCAGCAGCGCCGGCTCGGCCAAGTCGGTGGGCGGCCGCCGCGGCGGGCTCTGCTGTCTCGCTCTAAAGTGCTACGGCTTCTGTCGGCGGCGGGCGCGGAGGGTGGACTGCCGGTGCGCGGGCGGCGTCGGCGGCTGTTGCACGTGACGCCGGTTTACGAAAAAAAAAACAAGCGGCGCAGATAAAAAATGACGTTTTTGTTTTAATTTTGACACGCGCGCCGCTCTGAATTGAAAACGCACAAAGCCGCTGATAAAGGTTTTTTTTTTTTAATTTTAGCAACGAACGCGCGTTAAAATGTTAGAATCGAAAAATAGAGCGCAGATAAATAAGGACGTTTTTTTTTTTTCTAATTTTGACAGCGAACCCTACCAATGCATTACCGCAAAACTTAAGCCGGCCTTTAGTTTTAACGTTACAATGCCATTGTGAGGAACGAGCGAATGGTAATATTACCATTAGATTTTACTATTTGACGCCTAACAACAGTTTGTTTTGTTTGTTGTGGAGATCTGATAATATCGCTTGCTTTTTTGTAACAAAAATTATTTTCTTGATAAGACGAAATCTGTGTTTTATATGAAATTTAACTATTTTAAATATTATATGCACAAAAGCTTTTCCTTATAGTACATAATCAAGTTTCCACAAGGCATGAATGTTTGATGTTTAATGTTTTATGCATGTGTTTTTTTTTTTATACTTAAGACAATGGTATCTTAATCCTAATTATTGATATAATAATGTACACTTATAAATATAATCGAGGGCATATTAAAAAGTGCCCGTAACTAGTCCGCAGGTAACTGCAAATTATAATGCAATTTTAGAACTCACTCATAAGACTTACGAAATGTCATAGACAATATCGCAATCATCTATGATAGACTACGTGATTAAAATATATATTATATATTCATCCATATACAAGCAGCGCTTTAAAAAAGCGAACGATGGTGCTTAAGAAACTTATGCCAAATAATTCCTTGTAATTCTAGTCTTAATTCTGCTCAAGTCTGTCCGAGCTGGTGTTGTCAAATATGACGTATTGTTATTTCGAACAGTTGAAATTTAGACGACGACCTAAGAACAAATGTATTTCCGTTACAATTGACTATTGACATTTAAGGGTATCGAGCATTTACGAATCCATTGCTCATTTTCTATTATTAACAAATTGCGATCGGCAAAAGTGCCAAGCAATGAAAGTTTTTCTTTTTTTTTTAAACCCTCTAAGACCTCTATTAAATATTGACCAAATATAATACATAATAAGCGAGTCGCGTTCAAATGAACACTATCTTTGCTATTTATAACTATCACTTCTCAAGTTCGTTTTAATAGATTTTATTCATAAAGTCTTCCTTTTGTAGTCCAAATTCTCTCGCGAGAATCCTTTTTGTCTTATAGCTGCGATCATAATTTCCGGTCTAATAAAGTCTGTCGTATTAAATGAATCCTAAGTTCCTTGCCTTCTATATGATCCGAAATCTCTGCCGAAGTGTCCATTGAATTTAACAATAGCCATTTTAATTAAATTATATTTTCTCAGCTCCTTTATCTCCGTATTAATTGTATTTATTTGAACGCCCCTCGTAAGGTTCGAAGGCAAGAGAGTGCTTGCAAAATCGTCCTGTGTTTTTGCCTTTTTTATTTTATTTGCAACCCCGTTAAGAAGTGCTTGAGTGTAATTTCAAAAAATATCTATAGTTTAATTTCATTTGGCGAATCGCTAAGTGGTGACTGTCACGTCAATTTGTGAGAGTTGTTTATAAAAAAATGTTACATTACTACTTTATAACGCGCAATACGCCGATTATGTGCTATCGTACATGCGTAATGCGGAGGAATGTTGTCCTCTCGTTCGCTCCGCGTCCAAAGCCTCCTTCTGTCTCGCTCCCGCTACATATTAATGTACAGTCGCTACCAGCATTTTCATACGATTTTGAGATTTTTTTTAAACATTAATAGTTCTTTTCAGCGATAACTTTATTTACACACTACGCTTGACTCGAAGAACTTGCGAAGTCAAGTAATCATTGAAATTTTATCAACCTGTCTAATTACGCAATTGTCGTAAATTTTTGTTTTAGATGAAATTTTGCGTACATATTTCTAGTCTACTTGAATTCAATTAATTTTTTTTTTGTTATTTTTTCTTCAATTTGATTGATTCAATGAAAACAACGCCTATAGTTTTAGCGATGTACAAATAAACGTTTCGGACTCTGTGTCTGTGACGTCCGCCATAAAGCAATTTGACCGTGAATGTTGCCAACATTTGTTGCTCTTTACCTTTAAGACTGGTGTATATTTCGTAGCATAGCATTACAGTAATATACCTGTACCTTCGGCGACGCGTGGATTTGGAATTTTTGGATTTTTCCTGTTTCAATAATTCTTCGACCAAACACTGTTATAGATTTTTTTCTGTTTGTCACTTTGATCAGGAATTCATAACTCGAATAATATTCAATAAAGTCGCAACTTAACTCTTACTTTTTACTCGTTCTTTAAATTAGAATGAAATTTTAATGTTTGTTAACCTAACCTCTAAGTGAATTAATCTAGTCGTTACGAGTGTTTTGGCGCGAAACTCAACCAAAGCAAACGCAGGAAAATCGAAAGTTCCAGAAATTAAAAATCCATTGTCCGTAATGTATAACGCACTTAGTACTTTATTTTATTCTGCCAACCTAACAGTTGTAAGTTGCTACCAACGTTCAAGAATAAACAATATGCACTGACTCCCTATTTTATTTTTGCGCTTTTTTCCCGCTCCGCTTCTGATTTGTCTTAGTGTTGTCAGTAGTTAGTGTTTGTACAAAGTGTTATGGTGATTTCTCACGCGACTAAAGAATTTGTATTTTACAATTAAATACCACATTACGTGTTTTATGTCGATCTTATGAATGCATTTATTAATAATAAATATAATTTGGTATCTATAATTTTTTTTCAATCCATGCCTACTGTTGCTTTATTCAGTAAGTACTTGGGAATTATGTTTTTATGTGTTTTTTATTTCCACACAGAAATAATAATATTTATTTAGTTATTATAGTTCCTTTAACCCAAACCTGACCTAAAACGAAGTTATCGTCAGAAATTAAAAAAAACAATACGCGTACAGAAATTACTAGAACACGTCTTGTCAATTTTGTTTATAATAGCGTATCCCATGACTCATGTCGAATTAATGTCTCTCCCGAAACTCCTAAGCCGACGCTATTATAACCGTAGTGCTTGTTATCCTCGAATTTAACGTATACATGTGTTCCAGCTAAGCCAAATTTGTTTACGCATCGATCCTTTGCCGCTTTGCTTGTGAGTATCCTTTGTTATGTTTGATGTTTTAGTTTCTTTAGAATGTAACAATATTAAACTTTTATACATATAGGGACGTGACGTACGATATTAAACTTTTATACATATAGGGACGTGACGTACACAGATTTAATTTGACAGCCTTGATACATTTAAGTGTCATATTTATTGTACCATTTTTATATATTTTGTACTCTCTCATGGAAATATCAATGTTTCATCGATAACATAACATCCGATGAGTAAAATTAATAATTGCCAACAACTAATTCACCATACAAAAATATTGTGTAAAGTTTTTTTTTTTCTAATCTTACATGTGTTTTAAATTTTATTTTAATAATTTTGCCTTGTATACTATAGAATTCAAAAAGATATGAATAAAGCTCCGCGAGAATACGGAAGACTTGGGTTCGATTCCCGTAGCGACAAGAATATTTTCGTCTATTTTTATACAAATTTAATTGTAGATGGCGCAGTTGATACTGTCCCTGTCTCTTGCGCCAGAGGGTGTGAGTTCGATCCTCACTACTGGACAAATATTTAGTGATGAAAATAGTTTTTTCTAGTGCCTGGTTGTTTGTATATCTATATTATGAATTTATTTAAAAAAGAAAAATATGGTGGTGTTTATCAGTTACCTAGTACCCATAGTCCAAGCTATGCTTAGTTTGGGACTAGATAATGTGTACAAATATTTTCTATGTGTACCGAAATATTTTTCTGAAGTGCACAAATAGGCACAATTTTTTTTTAATAAATTATGTAATCAAACTTCAACTCAATTATTTTTATCTGTAACATCCGGCTTTGCACGGGTGCAGTATTATGAATTAGTTTATACCACAGGATATCTTTATATACAATATTGACGGCTGTTTTTTCATGAGATGTTTGTTACATCACATTTCTTTATTACAATATGCGTGTATACTACACATAAACCTTCCTCTTGAATCACTATATTGCTGAATACTGTATTAAAATCCTTTGCGTTGTTTAAAAGATCTAAACGTAACAATAGCGGGAGCGACTGTTTTGTACTCATCATCAGCCGCAAGACGTCCACCGTTGAACATAGACCTCCCCCTTAGAACGGCACAACGAACGACACTGTGCCATTTGCATCCACTTCATGCACCTTTGGTGTTTTATACTACGTAAAGATACGTCATCAGACGACCCGAATGGCGTAGTGGGTAATGTACCTGCCTCCTTACTATATGGTGTGGGTTCGATCCCGATTCCACTACTGGAAAAATATTGTGTTATGAACATAGTATATTTCTAGTGTGGGTGTCTATAGATGTACGATATGTATTTATTTACAAAAGAAAAGTATTTTTAAGTGTGTTTATCAGTTATCTAGTACCCCTAGTACAAGCGTCGCTTAGTTTTGTACTAGAGAACGTTGTGTTTAAACGTGTCCTATAATCTATATATAAGAGATTTCCACCGATAATTGACTCATCACGACATCTCTGGAACCATAAGGCGTAGAGACTTGAAATTTGGTAGGAATATTCCTTTAGCCGAGTAGAGGTCAGCTAAGAATTTTTACGAAATGTTACCTGTTGGGTCCGCTAGTATTTATTATTAATTCATGAGCATTATCATTGATCGATGCAACACTTCCCCAGGTAACTTCCGCCAGGATTGCCACTCGGAGAGCTCGCCGAAGCAGTCGAAGAGTGAGGAATCCGAGAGCCAAGATCTGCCATCGCCTACCACCAGGTTCATTCGCTACGGCGCTGACACTCCGTGCAGCATCTTCAAGGAGACCGACATATGAATGCGTCAATCGTTCTCAAGAAGAG